ATGGACAGGTAAAGAAGCCTGTTTGTATTTCCGAGTATAATATGTTCATGAAGGGAGTTGATAGAGCCGATCAGTACTTGGCCTATTATTCTCTTCCTCGGAAAACAGTAAAGTGGACAAAGAAAGTTGCCTTGTGGCTTATAAATTGTGCCATTTTCAATTCATTTTTAGTTTTCAAAAATCTAAACCCTCATTCAAAATTGAAATACAAGGCATTTCTGCTGAATGTGGCAAAACCCTGGGCTACAGACGGTGGTGGCAGACACAGTCTTAGTACAACCGGGGCCGTCTACTCCCACCCCCCTGGGCGACTCTTGGGTGATATGCGGAAACATACCCTTGCAAAAATTGTGAAGAGTGAACATTTCAAGGGGAAGCAGACTTCTAGGCAATGCCGTGTTTGCGCAATTCACAAGAAAAGGAGTAGGACTGCCTACATTTGCAAGTTTTGTGTAATGCCACTTCACAGAGGGGAACGTTTCAAGAAATATCACACCCTCAAGCACTTCTAGAAGCACTGGTAAGTGTTCTCAAAAAATTTTAGTTCACAAAATTAATTAGGATATTTTATATTAATTTTTAAAATGAACAGCGCACAAGTTAGGGTACTGGGTATAAAAATGCCCGTCCGCAGGGCGATTTAAATATTTAAATTGCCAGTCCGCAAAGTGTTAAAAACATGTATTTAGTCTAGAAGTATTACCTTATGCACTGACCTCCACAGCAGTGTTTGTAGACAAATGATGGAGGAATCTCATCTTCTCTATGTAGCATAGGAGTGACACAATTTCTTTCTATCCCCCTGCATTTCTGCGAGACAACCAGTACCTCGTTCTCTATTTCTCCAACCCAGAAGTTATCCTTTCTTTAAACATCAGGTTTATCTGTGTGTCTGCAATGACTTATTTGGGCACTGGTGACTGTAACTTGATTGAAGCAACACTGGGTTCACCTGGGGCTGTTGGTCAAATTATGTATTTGGAACCGTTTGATTGGTGCATTTTAAATCTGATTTCAAGTTTACAATTGCACCCATCTCTGGTGTATTCTTCTAATTATCCAAATTAAATGACCAACTTCCCCTGATTCTCCCTACATGTTCTTTACTTATATTTCTTTATTACTTTTCATATGCAATTTCAACTGGCTTCACCCAAATTATCTTGGTTGCTGCAAAAACAGAAACTAAACCAGTATCAACACTTATGATTGTCACTACAGGGGCATACTGTGTATCTATGTGGCCTCATGTGTGTATTTCATTATCTGTTTATATACTCATTGTCTCATTAGAATTATATCTGTTGTTTTCAATAGTAGTAGGAACAGGTGGTGGTTCCTCCCCTACCTTGATCCCTGTTCAACATTCACTTCAAAATACCTATGCTTCCCAAATTTTAATGTTAAATGATTTGTGCCCTGAACTTCTTTACAGCTACAGAGTCATGTATGAATAACAGTAACTACTGAGTCAATTTCAAGAATAAAAGCATTTTAAGTTATGTTTACTCCATGAAAGAGGAGTAAAATGCCAATGGCTAGACAGTAATCATGTACTGTATACGGGAAAAGCAGAGGACAGACATCGTCATTCACTATATCAACAGGCTCGAGTACAGATTATCATCTCTCCTATCACTTCACTTATGAAACACTCTTTCGTCTAATGTATTTTCCTTTTCATTGTTATGGTTCAAAGCTTGTGCATTGAATCTTATCACACTGCACTTAATTATATTTACATGGCAAACTGGTTACAGGCTGCCCCTTAGCCCAGGTACTGATAGCTGGCTGGTACTCCCTGTAATAGAAACAGCATTATCACATTTAGGTTGAATGCCAAAACCAAACTACGCTCACCTGGAAGGAAGGTGACTCCATTTCTTACAATAAGGAAACAGCACAGAATGTAATAATCAGGAAACGTCGAATATTCCATTAGAGAAATTGCATAATCAGCACTTCAGACAATTTTTGGAGACATACACTAGTCATCCTATCCCAAGTGAATCGACGTTAAGAAAGAATTATCTCTCTACATGTTATGAAGATATGTTAAATAAGATTCGAACATCTGTTGCTGACAAAAAGATATGGGTTTCCTTGGACGAGACTTCTGACGTAGATGGGCGGTATATTGCGAATGTTATAGTTGGGACCCTGAAACAAGATCAACCTGGAGAGAGATTTCTTCTTGACTGTGAAGTTCTCGAAAGAGCAAATCATTCGACTATAGCTGTCCTATTTGATAATTCCATGAAGTTGTTGTGGCCAAATGGAATACAGCGAAATAATGTCCTTCTCCTAGTAACAGATGCCGCTCCATACATGAAGAAGGCTGCCAAAGGACTTCGAATCCTCTACCCGAAAATGGTCCATATTACTTGCCTCGCTCATGCATTGCATAGAGTGGCTGAAGAAGTTCGAGGACATTTTCCTGATGTAGATAGGCTAGTTTCAAACGGAAAGAAAATATTCATCAAGGCCCCTCTTCGAGTGCAGAAATTTAAACAAGAAGCTCCTCTACTGCCACTTCCTCCACAGCCTGTCGTCACACGGTGGGGTACATGGTTGGATGCTGTGGCATATTATTGTGAAAATTACACAGCCATTGAGAAAATGTTTAATGGCTTTGACAGCAGTGAGTCAACATCAATTAAAGCTGTCAAGGACTTATTCTCTACCACTCTAGCACAAAATCTGGCATACATAAAGTCAAACTTCTGTTCAATTTCAGGTGCAATAACTCGCCTGGAATTTGTAGGGACTGAACTCTGTGACGCGTTGGACACTGTAAAGAGCATTGAGAATGAACTAAACCGAACTCGTGGTGAAATAAGTGACAGGATTAAAACCAAAATAGAAAGTGTTCTTCATCGGAATGCTGGTTATTCAACATTATGCAAGATTGCAGATATACTTTCCGGTAAACTAGCAACATTCGAAGATGATACAGAACTGTCACCAAACGACTTGACATTCTTCAAATATGCTCCTGTCACATCATGTGATGTGGAACGAAGTTTTTCCAAATACAAAACTATCCTTAGTGATAATCGGCGATCTTTCAAATTTGAAAATTTGAAAATGCATGTAGTTATAAATTGCAATTGTAACAGTGAAAATTGAGACGTGAATAACTCAGTGAAAATTGAGACGTGAATAGCTTGTGTTCTTTTAAATGGTGTTTTTAGATAACAGAGTTAAGTTAGTGTTCATACCATGTGCACCAGTGTTTGTCTAAAATATGAACGCAAATATCAGTATTAAAAAGAAAACAATGAATGGTTTAATCCAGTACGAAATGTCGAAATTCCATCAGTTTTCTTTCCTTCAGAGACATAATAGGGCTAATTTGGTAAGTAGGACCTACTATCATATATTCATCATCTTTATTCTTAAACTCTAGTAAAAGTTGTAATTAAAATTGTGAAATTTTATGTCCCATTTAATATTTAAGGTCATATTTTACACTTTTTAGGTCATATTTGACGTAATTTTGGGTCATAAGTGCATGCATATATTTACAGTTTTTAGGTCATAAAAATCCGGGCCCTACTAATAATAGTCTTGATAAATGGTCCAGTAAAGGAGATTACAGTGAGACAGACATACAACTCAGTGGTGGAGAAGCAAGAAATGTGTATAGGATTTTGGCAGGGAAACTTCTGTGAAGATGGTAAAATGGCAGAATATTGTGACTGGGTATATTATACAAAGTGAAATGAAATTTGCACACAAGCTGTCCACAGTCTGATTCCTTGTTAAAGTAAGTATAAAAATATTGTACAACATGTCTTGATATGTCACTGTCAAATGGCACAGGCTATCACATGTTCAAATCATGGGTGTCTCCTGGTTATAACAGGTGTCTGAAACAGCTTCCATCCACTTCAAGGCAGATGACAGTGCACCACACAGCATTCACTTGAACACAACACACTGCCATCAACCATTGTCACAGCTGCTTGAAATATTGCCATGAGATTTTGAATAGTCTTGGGAGGGACTCCATAAACATGCTCCTTCAAGTGACCCACGGGAAAAGATCCAGCAGCCAAGGAGGCCAACCAATGGACCCTTGACAATCAATCCACCTTCATGGACATGTTGTGTTCAACCGCTGCTGGATATCTCATAGTGCTGGAGTTCCATCCTGCTGAAACCTCTATCTTACAGCTAGAGGCACATCCTCAAGCAGCCCCAGTAAAACAATTTCCAGCAAATCATAATATCATTGAGCAGTCAGCCTGTCACGTAGCAGATAGGGCTCCACAACAATGTCCCCTATGATTCCAGCCCAAATGCTGATAAAATGGACTTCATACCTACATTTTTGGATAACATGAGGACTGTCCTGTACCTAAAGGCGACTGTTTGTGGGTGATGAACACACCCTCACACGTAAAACAGGCTTTTCCTGTCCACAGAATATTACGTAAAATATGATCATATGCGGTGTGTTCATTTCATAGCCATTCACAAAACTTCATTCATAGAGGATATCATCTAGAAACAGATGTGTGCTCTGCAAGTAGTGGTATGGATGCAGCTGACTGTCATGACATACCCTGAGGATCCTCAGTTGGGATAGTGCCAATTCATGCAATATTATGTGAGCTCCTCCATGGCTTTCATCCCACAGGTGGAATTATTACTTTTCATTGGCTGGTGTCCATACAGTAGGTGAATTGAATTGAATTGAATTTATTTACATTCTATAAATCCTAAGTAGGTTAGTACCTTTGGATACAGAACAAGTCAAAAGGTTACATACATAAGTACAGGCAATTTTAGCTTAAAAGTAATATTATTTACATTGAAGTATTCATCTAAAGAGTAGAAGGAATGAGCATGTAGATAATTCTTTAACTCTGATTTAAACCTTTTAGTATCATTGCCAAAGTTTTTAATACTTTGTGGCAGATTGTTGAACACTTTTATGCCAGTAAAGTAGACTCCTTTTTGATATACTGATAAAGTTGATGAGGGTAGGTGGAAGTTATATTTTTGTCTAGTATTCATGTTATAGACATCAGAATTTAATTTGAATTTATCTTTGTTGTAAACAACAAATAAGAGAAGCGATAATATGTATTGCGATTGAAGAGGTAGAATTTTTAATTTCTTAAATAATTCTCTACATGAATCTCTACTTCTACATCCTGTAATGATTCTAATTATATTCTTTTGTATTTTAAAAATTATTACACTATGTGAAGAGTTCCCCCAAAATATTAATCCATAGTTCATAATAGAATGAAAGTAGGCATGGTAAACCATCTTCAATGTTTCCTGTGACATAAAAGGCTTAATTGATCTCATCACATAGCAAGCTGCATTTAATTTAGGTATAATTTGTTCAATATGTATTTTCCAAGACAGTGTACTGTCTACATGTATTCCAAGGAATTTTGTATCAAGTACTTTACAGATTAATTTGTTGGCATAACTGATGTCCAGATCAATTTGGTGGTTGTTTTTAGTTGTGAATGATATGTAATGGGTTTTATCAAAATTTAATGAGAGTAAATTGGCTTTGAACCATCTGTTTAAGGCTTCAAATACAATATTTATGTCATTTTTAAAGTGACCTGCATTCATGTGTGCTGTAGGTGTTACACTTCCTGTCTCAGGCATATGCTGCTCCAATCATTGGAACACATTAGCATCTAGATGGCATCTACCAGGATAACATAGCACACATTCCTACATAGTAGTATCAGCTCGACTACTATAGGTACCAAGGATAACAAGCATGTTGTAGTATTTGTAAAGTGTGTATTTCATGATCATTCAGTCATAGCTGACCCCTGGTGTGCACCATGTCTTAAGTATACTTAATAACACACTATTTATTATTGTGACAAATAACATTGCTGAGAACTGTTACCCCATTTGATGGTGACATGTACCTTCAAAACCACGAGTCTCAGGACATGCTGTGTAACATTTTTCACTTGTTCTTTTAACTAGTAATCACACTATGGAAAGCTTGTGCACAAATTTCGTTTCATCCTGCATATGAAAACAGATTAGAACTGAACTTGATAAAAGTGAAAACTTCAGTAGTCAGAATGTGACTGGAAAGTGGAACATTATCAAAAAGCAACAGTGAAACTGAAAATGAAAAGAAGAAACTAATTTCTGAAGTCTGAGTGCCCAGAGAATAAGACACATTCAGCCTCAATGATACAGTGGTGATGATGAAGGCAAGCAGTTTAAGATGATAGCTTGGCATGTCACAACATTCACAGACTTCTTTATTAAAGGTGAGGGATGGAGGATCTTAGAAGGCCAAACTACATTATGGACTTTAGCTTTATGATGATTTTTTATCAAATGAAATCAACAGTTATTAAAGGGAGAATACACTTGATGTGTGCAATGATCTTGACTTTATTATGGCAAAACTAATCTATCTGCAAATGCAATCAAGGGGGACAAAAGATCGTGGTATCAATTATGGCTAGTTTACCTGCAGCTGGCGGGGATGGTGGCTGAGGCACTGGATGTGACAGGCACGACACATTAGACGCCCATCCAAGGGATAACAGCGTTTGTCTGGCTCATCTGTCAGCTGCATCCCACAGTCCTGTAAGAACCAGTGACACTTCCTGTACATGACTAAACAATTATACACATATGGAATATTGCAAGAATACATTTTTCTGTGGTAAATGTGTGTGTGCTGCTGTGTGTCATACATACATATATACTAATGGGGCATGTAAGTACAAAAAGCAAATAACATACAGACACATAAACATAACAAATAGCATATATTAATAATACATCTTTGCATACTTACTTACTTATTTACGGAGCTGAGCCCTTCTTGAGAAAAAGCCAAATCTGCAGCTACTCAAGAATTTCCCAGCATTTTATGGAACCTGAAGGTTCATTGCTGTGTTCATAAGAGCCCTTCACTGGTCCCTATCCTGAACCAGATCAATCCAATCCATACCATCCCATCCTATCTCTCTAATATCTATTTTATTATTGTCCATCCACCTACACCTTGGTCTTCCCAGTGGTCTCTTTCCTTCTGGCTTTCCCACCAATATCCTATATGCATTCCTTTAATCCCCCATTCGTGCTACATGCCCTGCCCACCTCATCCTCCTTGACTTGATCATTCTAATTATACTTGGAGGAGAGTACAAGTTATGAAGCTCCTTATGCAGTTTTCTCTTTGGTCCAAATATTCTCCTCAACACCGTTTTCTTACATCTTTGCATACTGCAGATAAAAATAACGATAATAACCACACAAATATTCATAGGGATAAACAAAACAACACAAGTAATATTAAAACAACTACAAAAATTAAACATTTGTAAAATTTAACAGTAACAAAATTCATGAACATATATTATACATTACAGATAACGTGTACACCACAAGAAGATAGTACACAGAGTGATGTTCTCAAGAAAATGCATTTCAATGAGTGAACGATAAAAATGGAATAACACTGGAATATTTTAACTTAAGAATTAATGCAGTGAAGCAATTTCAACAAGTGAACAGTTGCATAAGGATGGCTTAAGTTTGGCCAAAACATGCAGCAGTTTAATTTTAATATTATTTTAAATGAAGGAGTAATTATAAACAAAGCTGCATTTAAGACAGGAGTGAGGAACTATAAAAACAGAAACATCTACATTCTATCAGACAGTGAAGCTGCAGTTAAAGCACTTGGCAAATACATCACCTCAACTGATCTGAGACTGCCATCAATCCCTCGTGCAACTGGCCAAACATAACAGAATTCAGCTAATATGGGTGCCAGGTCATGAGGGTATGGTTGGTAATGAAACAGCAGATCAAATGGCAAGAACGGGATCTGAACATTTGTTCAAAGGACCTGAACCAGCTTGCTGCACTGCAATTGGAGTTGCCAAGAAAGTGAATGAACAGAAATGACAAAAGAACCTTAGGAATCCATAACTGGACTCAGACAGGCAAAGGAACTTATACTAGAGCCCTCTGTGAGAAGAACAAAGGAAGTGTTGAAATTAAACAGAGACAAATTAAGATGCATGGTAGGACTATCTACAAGACACTGTCACGTAAAAGGAAATACTTCCAAACTGGGACTGACAGATGACCCCACTTGCAAAAGAGACTAGTAGTTGAATCAGTCACACATATATCCTATGTGACTGTGAGGCCATAGCTTATTTCAGATTTCATCACATGGGCAAGTTCTTTATGGAACCAAGCGACTACCATGACTATGTAGGACTTTGTTTATGTGGGATAAACGAAGTCCTACATTTCATTTGAAGTGTAGGATTAATAGAGGGTTAATCAAACGAGGAATGACGATAGATCATTGAAGGTTGTGGTCCAAGGGATCAGATTATTATGGCCCATCCTTCACTCACACATGGGAGCACTCGCGCGCGCACGCACACACACACAAGACAGGAGTGAGTGTGTAAAGTGGCACATCAATGATCATCATCTTCACCACTGCTGCTGCTGCTGTTTTCATCAAGAAAATTTACTATTCCCCAAACAAGTAAACTGTGAATGACTCACAATCATTATAGAGAGAAAAATCAATTGCATTACAATCCAAAAGAAATGGAAAATTTGACCTTTTATGGATGGTACTGCTGGAAGTATAAGTCTGTAAGACATGAAATTTATTCCAAATAATGGATGGGCCACAACAGACTCTCGGTGTTGACCCTAATAACCTATCATGACCTGCCAGATTATAAGGATTATTCATACAATATAGTTTAATTACATATTAACTTAGATTTCTGACTATAGCCTTACCTCACAGATATAGCAATCAACGTGGAAATCCTTGTCCATGGAAACTACACGAACAGTCTCTTCTGTGCCCTGTAAGATACATGTGTGCCTTAAACTGTTGTAGCAAAAGCTGTAGCACATACTTATGATGGACTCTAGTCCCTCTATGCTACTGTATTAAGATGGGTTACAGAAAATATGAGAGCAAATAGAAAAACATGTCATACATAAAGTGGTGCAAATATAAAGTTTAAAATGTTCTAAAATGCAAATACAGTGAAACCTTGATTTTACACTTTTGAAGGAACCACCTAAAATAAACGTAGTTTCAAGGAAATCAAAATGATGTAACATAACGAAAAATATGCGTTGCTTTATGCTGCAACTGTGACAAACTATTTAAAATATATGTCTGAACACAATAACAATGTAAACAACAATGTTGCCTCTTAAATCTGTAGATCCAAACATCAGAAGCTGAAAAGTTGTCTATTCCTAGACAAGCAATGATATGCAAGGTCTTCTCCTTCAGATGAGTGCCTTCTATGGAAATGTTACTTCTATGTGATTGCTTCAACCAAGAGCTGATTCCAGTTCTTCCTTCAGTGAGTGTTCCAAATATTTCTACTTTTTGGGAAAAGTTCCACAATGGGCATAACAGCTTTCAATTTGTTCATGAATTTTCACAGTTGTGTTCAGTGTACACAGACAGTCACGATCATGATGCCAGTAACATATGTTCCAACATGCACATCAACTAGCATCTAATTTTATCATACACTGTAAATGATTTCAGTTTTGCTTTTCTATTCATATTCAGGCAAACAGAATTCGTTAATAAATTGACATGTTTATATATGATGCTCAGTGTCATGTAGATAGCATCAGTAAAACAAATGACTGCTGCTACCTAAGCACAATGGCCAGCATGAAAGTCTGTGATAGGTTGTGTCCATTCAAGTGCAGTTCAAAAGCTTTGTATGAACATACATGTTCATTTTATAAGGATAATCCCTGAATGTAAGTGAAAGAGCACCACTGTTTCTTTGAATTTTCAAAAACAGATTACAATGTAAATGTGAAACTGGGTACATTTCCACTGACAAGACTTCAAAAAAGATCAAATTTTTTAATGATGTAAATTTGAGGAAATGTAAAATCAGTTAAAATTTAACAGTGTTCTTATGGCCTTCTGGTTGGAACCAATGAAAAATGCATAAACTCAGAAAACAGATAAAGTCTGAGAATGCAAAATCAAAGTTTCACTGTATTTGGGAACAACAAAATGGACCTTCATAATGGAATAAACATTTCAACTCCAAGCCCATCCACCATTACATGTATGCCTGTGTGGAATATCACATGCTGACATCAAATGTGAGCTGTATAACTGGCTGACTTACAGCTTTATTTATTCTGTTCAGAAGCATTACTATTTAGCGTTTCTAGAAGCAGTCTGGCGTCAGAGCGCAGTGAAATCAGTGACCAAACTAAAAGTATGAACTAGTTGATGGTAACAGTTATTAGGAAGAAGATTCTGTTCTAGATTTTAATTTGGAGGGCAGAAGACAGTACAGTGCTGGGGGGGATCATGTATTGGTAATTTTGGATCTCAGAATTCTACAAAAGGTGTAATGGACTTGGTGTCAATCTTCAAACTAATTTTCATGGAACATGTTGTAATGACTGTAACAGAAACCAACTGTTATGCTGAATGATTTCAGAATTCATTCAAACACCTACATTCATGCAGATTAATTTTCAGATCAAGGAAATCTTTGCAGAAGAGGAAATACTGCTCTTCATGGTCATTCATGCTCAATGCTTAATTCAGAATCCTAAACTTCAATCATACCTCTCCACAAAGAAAGTTCTATTAAAGCCAAATTTTAGTGATGTCATTACAAGTTAGTCCTGATATTCACATATACACTCCTTCACTTTAATGGTGATGAAAAGAAAGATTCATACAACAGACTTTCAAGATTTTTGCTCTTATTTACAAAAAAGTTCAGGAACTGTTTCTGCCAAACAAAGATATATCTATGGACAAATCTGTAACACTATGAAAGGGCTGTCATCATTCAAACAGCACCTTCCACTGATGACTTCATAGTCTGTGATCAAGACATCTGAATAATGTGAACTGGGCAGGCTGCTTATTTATGGATCTTCCTTGTTTACAATAGCAAAGCCATTATACTCGAGTCCCCTCTTACATTAGCAGATATGAACAAAACCACTGCCACTGTAAAGATGGTGGAGCCCCTACTGGAGAAGGAATAGATGAATAAATAATTTTTATAATACTCTCACAAGAACAGCTCTTCATAAAACAGATTATACCAATGCTTTAAAGCAGAACAGAAGAAATGTTCCAGAAGTTATAAAAGATAACAGACTAAAATATGTGAACTTAAAGCATAGCATTCAGGATCTGTAATGGTGATAAATGGCACTAACACATTCAATATTTCTGTCACAATGACATTCAGTAAATGCTATATATTGCCAAGTGCATGAGTGACTATAGATTGGGTTTGGATTGGTAATTGGAGATACTGAATGCTTACAGATTGGAACTGCAAGTAACTAGAGCACTATCGCTAATTTGCACACACTGCAGTTCATTACAGCATGCACTAAGTCTTCTCAGTCTGCTGTGTCTTCACCAGTCATTGTCTGGTAACAGCTTCCAACAGCGAACATTCCCCTTAATCTGGGTTCCCAAACTATCCCTGTGCCACAGTTACCAGCTTCTAACAACAACTGAACTGCAGCAGTCCTCTAACTCAATTACTCACTCACCAATCAACTTGCCCTACTCCACTGCACTGCGCTCACTAACTCAACTTGGTTGGTCAAGTGATATAACCTTGGAGCGGACACACAGAAAACACTCTTTCCAACAGTACTTCCATTGATTTGCACAGGCTGCTGCCTAGCCATGGCTCCAATACTGTTGCAGATTTACGAAACTGTTGTCTAGTTATGGTCACTGGCTCGTTGGTTTCGCTACTGTTGACTAGCAATGGTCACACTGCTCCCTCCTTAAGGCTATTCATCCTGAATAGCCCACAGATATACTGCCATTTCTTCTTTTCCAAGTGCTGTAATTGTGACGTCTGTGATCAGTCGTGCCCTCCATTCCTTTGGCCCGGTTCTCAAGGTGATTTACCCACCAACTTCTCCCTCCTTAAGGCCACCATCCCAAGCAGTTACCTCATAAGGTGCCAGTCAGTCCAGGTGTATCACCATCATCCTTCCTTTCCAAGTTCCAAGAGTGGTCAGTGCTCCACATCTCTGACTCTTTTAAGTTGCTAGTAGCCTCTTTCGATTGGGCAGTGGTCGGCTCCTCCACAATGTCTTGACACTCATTTTTCCAAACCTCTTAAGATGACCCAACAATGCATTTCACCATTTTGCGGCCCAATGGTTTGTCCAAGGGCCTCATAAAATTCTCTTTGCTTCCCAGGCATACCTGCTGTTTCTGGCCTTGGTTCCTTAAGCCATTGTTGCATTCTGGGTCCTTCCATCATCTCTTCTCAATAGTCGGTCCTTTATGACCATATCCCCTAAGCCGTGCCATTCCCACATGGCAGATCATCCATCTGTGGGCAGTGGCCAACTTCTTCTGGGACCCACCATTGGCCCTGGGTCCATTTTTTCAGCTGCTGGAGGCACTCTATGTCTACATGCCAGTTCCAAGTTCGATCCCCCAGTGCTCTGATAGATTCCACTGCAGCCTCTTCCTTAAGGGTGGCCTGCTGTTCTGCTACAACCTCCAACTTTCCTTGACTGGCCTCCAAATCTGTGGTGTCCATTTTGTGGAACATTTCTTCGAAGACATCCATGGTGACCTCCATTCTCTCCATCTGGGAGTCTATCCTGGCAATCAGCCATTTGTGATGTGCACTAACTTGGGATCCATCCTTTCTTGGTTGGTTTCCATCTTGGCCAGCATCTCTTCTTTCAGGTGTTCTTGGCCAGCTCTCAATTCAACTTTCATTTCCTTTAGACTAGCGTTCATCTTGGCTTGGTTGGTTTTCGTTTTGGCCAGCGGGCGTACCACCATTTGTTCCATCTCCATAGAGTGGTGATACAGCTTCTTCCTGTGGTCTCCAATCCAACCACTTCTGACATCAGTTGTCATATTTACGAGTGATTAGAGATGTGGTTTGGATCGGTAATTGGATTTACTGAACATTTATAGATTGTAACTATAGTGCTATCGCTAATTCACACACACTCTGCAGTTCACTACAGTGTGCATAAAGTCTTCTCAGTCTGCCGTGTCTTCACCAGTCGTAGTCTGGTAACAGCTTCCAACAGTGGACATTTCCCTTACTCTGGGTTCCCAAATTATCCCTGTGCCTCAGTTACCAGCTTCTAACAACAACAGCTCATAACAACTGAACTGCAGCAGTCTTCTAACAAACCAACCAACCAACCAACCAACCAAATACTAACCAAAGAACTAACTCACTCACTAACCAACCAACTTGCCCTACTCCACTGCATTGCACTCACTAAGTAACTCATATCAGTCAGTCAAGTGACATAGCCTTGGAGCTGACCCATAGAAAACCCTGCTTCCAACAGTAGTCCTGTTGTTGGTTGCGGGTTGCTGCCTAGCAATGACTCCAGTACTGTTGCGTATTTACAAAGCTGTTGCCTAGCAATGGCTCTTGTCTCTTTGTTTGTTTCACGGCCATTGCCTAGCAACAGGTCTATATGCCACAATATATTATACAAATTGTGCAGAAGTTGCTGACCAAAATTCATGGCATCAAAGTGGATGAATGTTATCAAAAGAAGCCCAAAATTAAGAAAATGAGTTTCGAAATTTGAAACTTTGTAAAATTCTAAATACTGCCAACAGATAACACAAACAAATTATCTAGCTAGAATGTTGTTTACAATCCTGTGCACATTATACAACAAGGTTGAGATGGCTGAACACAGCAGTGAAAGAGATCTACAAAGAAATCTTTGATGTCTGGAATTCAATAACAATGGAGAGGGACCAGTTAAATATTCTTAAATGCTTTAATTATATACTGAAGTTCTTTAGCACAAAGAAATTAAAATGTCCACAATTGCATATGTTTATATGAGTTTCAAGTTACCTCTACTGGAGTGATTCCCTTCCCACAGGCTGCACACTTGGGTGCAAACATCCTGCAACAGGCCAATCACAATACAATAGTATTAGCCTTCTACTGATACATTTGTCAATTCTACAGTGAGGGTTAAGAGGTCAATAATGTAGCTAATCATACATACAGTAAAAAAAAACGTCAACCCTAGAAAAGATCTGAACCAGCTATCTCCAAGATACATGGTAAATATATAACCTCTGAGTTACTTTAACATGTACAATAACAAAGGGAAATAGTGCTGTAGCTCCAAAAGATGTGGACAACTGGATTTTGCTACATTTGATTTGGTTCAAAAAATGTCAAGTCAGTAATTTATTGTACCTCTGATTCCAGCATTAATATAAATCTGTTTAAATTAACTGTGTTTCTAATTCAAAAGTCTTCAGGCTTTTACAACTGTTTGTAGCTAATTTTGCTTCTATTCTTGGACGATTACTCATTAGTCTTGGACTAATTGCACTGTTTGAAGACAAAAAAATTAATTCTTGGGTGATGACAATGTGTTACAGCAGGTTGGTTTACCAACACTTCACATAATTTAGCATTCTCCATCTTCAAGGTAGAGTGATTAAGCAGTGGCCTGGTGTGAATACTTATAATTCTGAGCCATGAAGCTGTGGTCAAATCCATTTTCTGACCTGTTCACATATTATCAGTATGGACATCAACTGGAACCTGGATCCCTTTTCTTCTGAAGTGCGGATGTCAAAATTTTATTCAGAATCAGCAGTGTCTGATGGTTTACTATTTTCATATCGTTTGTTGTTTCTGTTGCTAAGGTATTTGTATATTGACTTCCAGGCTGGACTGAGCTATTTCCTGCTCAAGCTCTAGTATACAATGATCTCAAAAGCCTAATGAATGATTCTACTGACAGTGTGAAACCGATAACTAGCCTGCAGTGCAGTGATGCACAGCACTCAGCCTGCCAGCATTCTTTACGTAAACCACCAGAAACAAATGGTATGTGACATATAAATAAATGCAGTTAAATGCACATTTTCAATGCTCCTGAATCAGATGTTGGTGCTATATGGGTATATAAATTCTCAGTACATCTCCATTCTAACGTTCTTTGATGGATTTCTGTGGGATTGTTTCTGTCTGAAGAACCTTTGGCTTATGTAAGAACGCTGTGGTGGTTCTGTTATAAATTACCAACTCTAGCATACAACAACTGCTACTTTTGGACCATAGCTTGTAAAAATTATATGTTTCACTGAGCTTTATAAGATATGGAAGGGAGCCACACTTGTATTCATAACAGTTCCAACTACTGGTGCTTCAAATAAACATACTGCACTGAGTACTTCTCTTTCTGCTCTCAGCACTTCAATTATTTCAGCTGGCTCTGAATTTGGAGTTCTGAAACAAGTTATATTTTTGCTCAGAATGTTTTGTGATCTTATGAATATGATTTCTTTGTGCTGTGAGTTTTGTTATTCTTTCCAGTGGGTTATTTAATGATGCTTCTTCAATATCAAGAATGCATCAGATGGGAGGACAATTGATGAACGATAAATTGGAAAGGATTTAGAAGAAGTGGTTTTCGTCTAATGGGGGCATTTACCCCAGTATTTTCCTGGATGGACCAATGAAAACCATGAAAACTTCAGTCAGGATATCTGGTGTGTCAGCCGAGATTTTAACAGAGGAACTCCAGAATACAATTCTAGAGCATGACTTCTAGACCAACTTGCTTGGTAGTTCTGTTATTAAAATGTTCAAGAAACCAATGAGCTATGATATAATTACTGAAGGTATTTTTAAAATCACAGCTACTAATAAAATCTATGGCTGACAAAAGTCACTGAAGAAGTGTAAGTTAGACTAAGAAAACAAAGTACTGTCACATGACAAATAACTTCACACCATCTTGGATCTAGCAAATTTATTGCACATTCACTCTTACATTTACACAATTCACAATTACACCACTACTGCCGTTGGCAATATCACAAATACTTCTCCTGTAGTCATTTCCATTCACTCAATACAACTTGACTCAGCGACTGCTAGACTGCAACTGACTGGTTACTCTCTCTCTAGTAACTGGCTCAAGACTCATTACTCACTACTCTAGTAGCTTCCGCACTGACAACACAGAAAACAGTTATGCGATAGCTACCACTGTTGTGTAACATCGTGTTTACAGGCGTTGCTGGGGAACACTGCCAAGAGTTGTTTATTGCTGCAGGGAAGTGCTGTTACGTCACCGCAGCAGAAGTTTGGAGTGTTTACCGAGGGTTGCATAATAATGGAAGGGGTAGGGTTATGTGACGTCACTCGCGAGACCACAGAGTTCACATGACTCTTACTTCCTGTTGCGCCATCCACGTCACAGTATTTTAAGGGCAATGGGAAGAGAATAAAGGCACAATTCTGCTGGTTATTTTGATGAATCCCTTGTCATACACATTCCAAAATCTGGAGGTACAATTTCCAGCTGACTGTTCTGTCTGGAGAAAAAAAATTCATTATGGATATTTTTTTTTATCAAAAAGGCAGATCAGTTTGAGTTTTGTTTCATGATTGTGATCCCAGAGACTGTGGATTTGATCAAACCTACAATTTCAGACACTGGAGTCTTGTATTGGAATCAAACTTATAAGGTCTCATCACTATTCACTATTTTGTCTAAAAGGTTTAATTCTTACAACAATCTTCTTAAAAGTCTGAGCAAATTCTATTTCTTCCCATCTTTTTGACAAACGGAACACTGCACCAATAAAAACACTTACTGCAATCTCAAAACAAATTAAGTGTGTCTAACACAAAACTGCTGACTCATGCAATCATATGATCCAGCAGGTACAAATTCACTACTGTTTGAAGCTGCTGCTGTTTCTTTAATCCCTCAACGTCATAGGACATTTAAATTGCACTCACTTCTCACAGGAGCGGGATCTTACTACTTCATGAGGCACACTACATGTCAGATGACACTGAAAGGTTAAATGTCAACCCTCATATATGCCTCATCTCTTTATATAATCAAAATGGTACTCATTTTAACTTAAAACAGCATTTTTGCAATAGGAAAATACACAATTGTACATTTATATGAGCAACTCATCTTACCTATGATAATCATTAACACAATAGATTTTGTTGTCAACATCCACTGTGAAGGGAACACCATCCAGACATTCATTGCAGACACAGCAACGAAAACAGCCTGGGTGATACGACTTCCCCATTGCTTGCAGTATCTGTTCAAGAGTCACAATATGATTCCATTTAGTAAACTTCTTGCAGGTGAAAGAATTCTTCAAAATCCTAATATAAATTAATTATATTATTATTTTTATCATCATCATCATCATCATCATCATCATCATCATCATCATCATCACCACCATAATTATTTCATTATTACCACAAAGAACATTAACATGAGCCTCAATCTCTTTTAATAGTAGTAATTAAAGAGCAATATTTTCCAAGCTACTTTAACTGAGGTTCTTTTTGAGTGTTCTCACCCAATTCTCCCTTCTCACTCACTACCATATCTCATTCATCAATAAATAAACCTCAGCAGTTGCTATAGCATTATAAAGTGTCCAGGTTTATAATACAATCCAGTATGTAATAGGATGAAATTAATAATAAAGTAGGACTGTGCATATACTAAACATATGACGTTCTCTCACAAGTGGTTGCTGAATGCCAGCAACAGTATTCCTCCAAATGTTCACCTAACCAACTTAACATCAATGTTAACAGAGTGGCCTGGGCTTAAATCATACCCAAAACTAGCACAGACATTGTTGTTGTGGTTTATACCTCCAGTTTTGCTCTTGCTGACTGTCTTGGCCTCTGCTGACCTTGGTATTGGGGTGTACATTGATTTCTGGGGCATGTGCAGATATGAAACAGATGACCCTGCTTCTCCTGACAGGGCAGATTAACAGGGCCTCTGAGTCATAATAAAAACCGATAATTCTCATGTTCAGAGACAAGGGAAGGTAAAGGAGTGTGGAAAACAATATTATATTTGAGCATCCTGTTACACTCACACAATATATATGAGACAAACATCATCTTAAGTGTAACAATTTAATTGTAGTTTTTTTTCTTTCCCTCCTCCACTACATGTTTCGGCCCTAAATGGCCATCATCAGGTGTGTATTCTTACGTAGCTGTTACACTGCCTGTTAAAATTTAAAATCACCAGTCTTTCTAATTGTACAAAATTTTTGTTAACCTACACGCGTTAATTTGTTTTCTAAATTTAGCACTTTTTTAAAACTTTAATTCAAGTTAAAATGTCTATAAGATTTTTGTTCTTTTTCTTTTTCAAATTTTGAAATTAAAATTTCTCAGGGTACGTGCCCTATGTCTATAGTGCTGCAGCGGCCACTTCTTGTTTAACGCTGTTCAGGTATCGTCTGTAATATACAAATATTCGTATTACTATCTTATGTTGTTATGTTATTCTTATATGTTTATACTGTTATTTGTACTTACTCTGTGTAGGCTCTCTCTGTGTGTGTCGCTGCTTATCTTTAATACGTGTGCTGTCTGGTGTATTGTGTACTGTGTTTTATGTTGGTGAGTGCTGGAGGGGGAATGGGTAGTGGGGAGAGGGAGGTACCGTTAGTGTGTATAGATTTCGTGTATAGTTTGAAATATGGGATTGTATGTTTCTATGTGTGTGTCATTCATGTGTACGCCCTTCTTACTTATTTTATATATATGGTATTTCTCTAATGTATTCAAATGTCTACCCTTCTTTCCTGTTGTTATAACTTCCATTACGTCTGTTATTGTTCCGTATGCATGTCCTGTATTTAGTATGTGATTTGAGTACCCGGAATTGCTATTATTATTTCTAATATCAT